TTTATCGAATGACGTATAGTATAGTATGGTTATTTGTTAATTTATTTTATGATACAGATTTTTTTTTTACTATAAAGAGATGTGAAGTCTGGACCTCGACAAATTTTGTATTTCTTTTTAGAATTACATTTGAAAACGTACTTATTCCAGTCCATCACAATTTCATTTATTTATTATTTTATCATATTTTCTTTTCCTCTAATTTTTTGGGCCTGTAATTTACGTGCTTTTCCATATCGCATGCACGTTTGAAATATGAGGCAGTTTTCCATTAAAAAATCCGAAAATTTTAACATTTTGTAACTTTTTCTTTTGTAGCATTTGAATATATTAAAATTTTAAATTGAGATAATAACTTTAAGAATAACGGAATACTTCACGTACTCACAGTAAATTTTTTTTTATAAGAGAGTGTAGTTCTTTATTTTCTCCAGATTGGGTATCTTTTTTGGAAATAAAGAAAGGTATCATGAAAAAGACACTTATTTGGAATATTTTCGCAGACTTTAGAAAGAAAAATCAAAGTAGAATGGAAGTATGAAAATGCATTGATTTATTTATAAAATTCTATTTTAATATAAGCTTTGTTATGAAGTTTATGAAAAATCGATCAATAGTAAATTTTCATAGGGACTAAATATAATTTCAAAAAAGTAGTACGTTCATATTTGTATGGTTCTAATACTACCCACTGAACAACACTATGATATAAATTATTGGAGAAATTATAGTTTAATTTCTGAATGATGCACGCTTGATATCTTATTTGATAGTATAGTGGTGTGTAACGGAAGTAATCTTCGTAAATTTTTTGTTGATTGGATTTGAACTATTAATAATAGTTTATAATGATTAAATATTAAAAATCAAGAAATAATGTGTATTAATATTCATCTTATTTATGGTTAAAAAATAATTTGTACCTCTTCATTGAATGTTTTTTATTGCTACTTATTACTTAAAAATATAAAAAATATATTCGATAGAAGAAGCTATTGAGAATTAGCTATTTAATAAATAAATTCTTAAAAAAAAGGTATCCGAACGTTTCGTCGAATCCGTTTCGCCGAAACCCACCTCGCCGAAGCTAATTCACCGAAAGGACTCTTCGCCGAACGACACTTCGCCGAACCGACTTTTCACCGAAAGACGTTTTCGTCGAAATACCATTTCGTCGAAAGGAAACTTCGCCGAAATGACGTTTTGCCGAATCCTTATTGCCGAACGGGCACATCGCCGAATTCGTTTCACCGAAAGAACATTTGCCCGAAAATGACTACTGCGTAACATTTGTTAACTTATCATTTTTAGGTTCTACATTAAAAAGTAAGTTTTTTCTTAAAAATTTCGTTGGAAATAATAAAAAAAGTTCAATAAATCTGGCAAATTTCTAACAACCAACAGCGAATTATTTTCGTTTTCGGCGAAATGTCCTTTCGGTGAAACGGATTCGGAGAAGTGTCCATTCGGCAAAACGGATTCGGCAAAACGTCCTCTCGGTGAAATGGTATTTCGACGTAAACGTCTTTCGGTGAAAAGTCCATTCGGCGAAATGGACATTCGGCGTAGTGGCCCGTTCGGCAAAATGGCAAAGGGGGTTTCGGCGGAACGGGTTTCGGCGAAACGTACCGTAACCCGAAAGCAGAGAAAAGTAGCTGGAAAATAAAATATGTAAACATACCGAATAAAATGTGTAGTATGGATAACAAATATGAAGCGATTCACAATTAGCGTAAGCAGGAATAATCTATGACAATGGCATGAATATTTTTCTTCTCGCATGTATTGAATGCTCTATTTCAAATATAATAATCCCTTATTAATTGATAGTTCATTTCTTGTTTCGCGGACTAAAGAATTCTTGACTAGAATGCTGGAAAATAATAAAGATTTTACGCCTATTTGATTCTTCCACATTTTCTGGACGAAATAATGTATCACAATAAGGAAGACCTTGACCGTTATATTATTGTTCTAGTTCAATAAATAAACTAGTTTAATGGTATGAACAGTGAAAACATGATAAAATAAAATTGCTTTGGAGTTGTGGCATCAATTTTTAAATCCAAACATTTTGATTGTGATCAGTAGAGGATTTTCTTTAAAATTACTCGAGTATTTTGAAATTGCACTATTTTTAAAAAAAGATCAAAATTATTAAGAATTTTACTGAAATTGCTAGAACTGACGAAATTTTAAGAGAACTTCTTAATGATTTCATACGTGAAAAGTTTATTTGAAAATCATCAAAAAAAATGATTAATTTTTTATGGTAGAACATTTTTGAAAAACTATAAAAGGGAAATTGGTTTATTTGGTTACACAGATTCCAGATAAAAAAAATCAGTCTCAGCATCAAAAATAATGATAAGGAGATTAATAATTACTATGAAGCATTTAAATGAATTAATAGTCTGGAAATTCTGATGCATTAAATGTAATATGGGATAGAGAATAAAAATTGCAAAAAGTATAAATTTATAATTATAAGCCAATGTAATTATTGAAGCACGGATGAAAAATATCCAGTACCAGAAAGGAACTTAAAAATTCTTAATAACAAATATTTATTATTTGAAATAAATAACACTATATGAATAGGATTTATTATTCAAAATATATTTTTAAAATAAAAAATTCTTTCAAGCTAATCACGAACGTGTAAAAATTAGATTTTAGGAGGATTTTATGACATCCCATGGTTTATGGTTTAGTTTTTACATTAATGTTTTAATTATTCATATAGATGAATTGTCATTAACTAAAGCGCTCCCAGAAGGCAAGGTTTATAACTTAGTAGTATAAATCCATTGTCCTAAAAGCAGGTTCAATGGGCCAATTTCATCCTCAGAGATAACAGATTGAATTGAATTTTTAATAATTCTAATAATTCTGATATTCTTTTTTTTAGCGTCGTGTAGGAAAATTAAATATAATTTTTACAGTTAAGCAATGTCATAATTCGAAATAGGTCGAATGTCGAGTCACATGACTGTCAAACTAATCTATAATTATGAACCAGATATATTGTACCATATCGAACGATAACGTAAATTAAGAAAATAGTTCGTAGAAATTTTTGTCTAAATTAAGTTCTTACAAAAACTCAATTTTTAAAACTGATTTCGTCCCTAACGAATATTTAATTTCAATAACAATAATTAGTTTGTTTTACGAAATAATAAAATTTGTAGTTATCCCGGATAAATATTGTTTATTGTTTTACAGTTGATCGAACGTTGGGTTTTGTAAAACTGTTTTGGAAAAAAAATAAAACATAAGTAATTTCGATATTATTTACTTATGTAGAAGATCCACCATGGATAGAAATCCAGAAACTAAGATTTATATTATATTAATGTTCAGATGTTTTTCTCGTAAACTTTTTGAGTTTGCGAACGTGGTTCTTTCACATGTGTATCTCAAATACGGATAATACGGATAATACGAAAGGTGTAGAGTCGGGTCACTCAAGTGAGTGGTTTAATTGAAGTTGGTATCATTTTCCATACTAAATGTTGATGTTGGTAAATTAGGTTTAGTGTTAGGGAGCTGAATCAATCAAACCACCATACCCAACTCACTTGACTGGCCCGACTCTACAATTTTAATGAGCATTTCGGTAATATCCCAAACTTGGATATCCCTATTGCGCATTCCGAATTTGGCTATCCGAAATGCGCATTTCGGCTAGAGTTTGGAATCGGATGTACCATTCGGTTTTAAATCCGGTTTAAACCGGTTTTCTAACCATCCGGATTTATGTTACGAAAACCGGTTTGCGTTCAACCGGGGTGTCCAAACCGGTTTGATACTAACAAAAATTTATGGATCAGATTTCATTGTGCCGAAAAACTTTACAACTAATTTAGATCGATGAAAAAAAAACTCGGTAAATTCGGTATAGTATTTTTTGAAGAAAAAACATTATCTCTACGTTCAGATCATTGTTCCGAATATAGCGATATAATTTTTTTACCTATATAAATTTGTAGTTGGCTTTTTACAGCTAATTTCAAAGTTGCGGGACATGTAAATTTTAGTTTATCGGGACTGTCGGATTGTTCGGAAATGTCGGCAATGTCGGTGCCAATCAAATGATTAGAAATTTCTCGGCGCCAATCAAATTTATAAATCAAATAAATACGTATTCAATTTTTTTTACTCACGTTATTTAACTTTAACAATGAATAGTTCATTAAACTCCCGTTTAAATGCATGTCCAATTGTCTTATTTGTTCACTATGTGAAAAAACTTATGGTAAAGATTGTTTATGTCCACTTAAAGAAGTTTAAAATACATAAAGTCATATAAAAAAAAAAAAATATTCGTGGCGATTTTTGGCGCTAATACTGTAATTTGATTGGCGCCGAAAAATTTCTAATCATTTGATTGCACCGAATTTCCGACATTTCCGAACAATCCGACAGTCCCGATAAACTAAAATTTACATGTCCCGCAACTTTTGAAATTAGCTGTAACAAATATAAAACCGGCTGCGAAAATGGTTTTCAACCGGATTTGTAAAAGCCGATTTGAAAAAGGTCGAACTGGTTGCACCCGTTTTAAATTCGGTTTTCAAAAATGCAACCGGTTCCAAACTCTAATTTCGGCTAACAAACAAACAAAAGGCGTGCTTTTTTTTTATTTTATTTTTTTTTTATTATGTAACAAATGAAGCTTTAAAAAAAAAATTTTTTAATTAAGGCCTTAATTATAATTTAACCGCATAATAAATAAATAAATAAAATAACGCAATGATGTCGCTAAATCACAGATAATTTCATATTCCACATACTTTTCTGCACAAATACTAGTTTCAACTAAGGGCGAAGCGATGGCTTTGTGATCGGGAGTAATTTCTGATCAGTTACCTGTTGAATACTAAATAGATCATCACAACCGCTAGGCTTATTTTAATTTTTTTAAATTTCAAAAATTATTAAAAAGACCCTTAGCAATTTTCTTAAGTAAAAAGGAATTAATTTCTTATTCTGAAATGAGCGACACGTCTTTAGTCATTCGAATAGAAAAAGAAGTTAACGGCAAAGATATAATAGAAATATCTCCAAATGCAAAATGTATTGCTAGTTATAATGAAGTAGAAAAGAAAATTGTCGTATGGAATACAAAAGAAGGAAAATTAAAACCAGATGATACGGTTAATCAATTTGATACCAAGAAGAGTATTTCACAAATGTGTGTCTCTGACGAAAAAGTAGTAGCGTTTAATTATGCCGAACGTACTGCTGATAAAGATAATGTACACCAAGATTTGAGTAAGTTACTTATGATTCAAATGAATGTTTTGTTTATTAAATTTTCATAACCTATTTTTTTTTTAATTAGAAATAATTGATTTGAATAATCCGGATCAAGAAATAGAATTACGTTTCAAACGTATTATATTAAGTTATTCTTGTAACTTTAATTCAAAAGGGGAGTTCATCTTTTATACTACTTGTGAACATCATGTTGTTATTTGGGTTTATTCAACACAATCTAAAGGTAACAAATGGATGTGTTTAAAAATTTATAAGTTACCTAAAGGTACGGAGTTTATCAGTATATCAAGAAATGACAAAATTTTGCTACGTATGGAGAATTACATAAATGAATTTAATATTGAAACTGGTAATACTAAAATTATTTCCAATAACATACTCGGGGTAATTAGTTATTTTTATTTTAAAAAAAAGCTTAGTTTTAGAAATTTATAAAAAATACAAATTAATATTCACAAACTTTAACAGGCTGAAACGAAAGATATTAGAATTTCTAGCAATGATAAGTTTACTTTTCTGAAAATAAATGATGAAATTATTGTTTATTCGGATAAACTGGAAATTCCTATTGCGTTATTGGATTCAAATGATGGTATGTTTATTCAAATAAATGTAATAACGTTAATATATTAATACTTACATAAATTCATTTCGTTTTCAGGTCTGCGACTTTATAAATTTATGAAACAACATACTGACTTACGCTCTTTGTTACTCTCTTTATTTGATTATAAGTCGAATAATAAAACTTGGATTTCTTGCTTAAATCAAATAACGAAAGATTCGTTATTAAGGAATAATCAACCTTGGAATTCTTTCTTAGATCAATTAACGAAGGATCATTCGCTAGTAAAGAATAATTTACCAATTATATTTTTACAAAACCATCTATATGTTTTCGTGAATGGTTCCGTTTTTAAAATTAAATTTGAGTTAGATATCATTCCTTTATCAGAGGAATTAAATATTAATGATGATGCAGAAAATTGGATGGCATATTTTGGTAGCGAAAATGTTGATGAAAAAAAAACCAACAATCCTTATGAATATGAAGATCCATTTATACCAAATATGATTATTGATACATCTAAACTTGAATCGCCTCAGAAAGAATCCAACTTGCAGAATATTAATGTAAAGATTTATACGGAAGTTGAAATAATTGGATTACGTGTATATAGAAAAGTTAATAAGCCTGAGTTGAAATTCATTGATGAATCCTTTCATAAAACCAAATATGAAAAAGGAATTGAAATATATGAAGTCGGGGTATTTGAAAATAACGATATCGCCATACTAACTAATATTGGCATTTTTATTTTCCATTTAAGTGAAAATGATAAGATTTTATTAAAATATTTTCATTATATACATCGACCGGAGCAAAATATAAAAAGTATCGGCAAATTGCTCAGATTAACAAAAAATTCCATGTTTTCGTTCGATTATAAGGAACTAATTAAGGAATGGGTTTCATATGTAAACAATGATAAAAATCAATTTTTAAAAAATGGTCCTGGATTATTAATTTTTGCGATTAAGATGCATGACTTAAAATTAATTTCTGACATTTATAAAAAATGTTTAAATTATTTTAAACAAGATTTAGAAAACAATAAGATGTTCCTGAGTATTATTACTACATCAATGCCATTATTGGAAAAATATTATCCTGAATATCTTACAAGATATTCGTTGGATACAAACATGATAATAGACTCTTTGGATTATAAAATAGAACATATAGAGTATTCATCTCTTCATCCTTTTACTAAAAATATTAAAGTTGTAAATTTAACGCGGTCTATCTGGTGGTCGATTTATGCTAAAAGATGGGAAGAGGATCAAGATATGGCGATAAATATTATTGTATTATTTCAATTAATAATCGGAATATTAATGTTTCCTATTTATGCGTCAATATGTCTTATTTTAGATTATTTTCATATAATTAATGATATTTATTATGATGGCGTTACTATTTATTATTATTTTTTTTGTATCTTACTTGAATTTATCAAATCCGAAATTCATAAAGAATCAAAACCTACGATTACATTTATCATTCCTTATATTAAATTTGTTAGTTATCCACAAGCTTATAGTTGGTGGAAGGAATTAATTAAACCTCAACCTAGTCCATTTGTTGAGACAATATCTAGAGATATATATAAAAAATTGAATGGCGAAGCTTTAATTGATTTCAAGTGGAATTCATATGGAAAATATTATTATGCAATTATATGGATGGGATTTATTGCTTTACTTGGATGCTTTACGGTTGCTGCAACATTTTCTAATAATATTATATCTAATAATATTAGAGAACAACTATTAATTGCCTCAATTATACTTGGATTAATTCACTTAACATTTGAAATTCGTCAATTAATTTATAATACATTCAAATGGATTCATGATATTTGGAACTTTTTTGGTATGTTAAATAATATTACAATTAAAGTGCTTCAAGGATACGGTGTATCAATTAACTCTTATTTATTTTTTATAGATATAGCAGCATATCTTCTTACAATATGTGCCTCTATATATTGGTATCAAACAAATGATAGAAACGTTCAATTGCTTTCTATCACGTGTCTATTTTTGGATATTAAATTTTTATTATTTTTTAGAGTATTCGAATCCTTTGGTGTCTATTTTGCGATCATTATTAGTGTTGCAAAACGAATTATCTCTTTCTTGGTGGTCTTGGGAATCATTTTAATTAGTTTTGCACATGCATTTTACATCTTATTATCTTTAGAGGATCCTTGGAATATTACAACCACTTTTACTACTTATGATCAAAAAGGATCAACTGATCCTAATCCATTTATAATTCAAACCCCTGATGAAAATACAAATATGTTCAGTTATTATGGTACCGCACTCTTTGCAATTTATTTATTTTTAACAGGTAAGTTAATTCATTATCTTTTTTTTGAATTATTATTTAAATAAATTATAGCTGATTCAACTCATTATAGGTGATTCAAGTGCTTTCACCCCATGGCCATATAAAAATAATTCAATGCTTGTCGTATTGATGGTTTTATTCTCTTTCGTGGTTGTGGTATATCTCATGAATTTATTTATCGGGTTACTTAATATTGAGATTGAAAAAGATAACAACAGAGTCTCGTATTTGATACAAAAAGCGAAGGTATTATATTTAGAGAGTATCAACAATTTATAATCTTAATTATTATTATACCTTATATTCATATTTTCTTAAAAATATATAGATTTTAGCAGAAATTGAGTTAATTTACCTACTTCCACATCAAAGACGTTGGAAATCATGGTTTCCGGAAGTAATGTATGTCCTCTTTTTTAACATTACCTTCGATCTTTTGTCGCAATAATATTCTTTCAATTTACATCATACGTTCAAATTTGGTAGTCATTACAATGCTGATGTCGATGAAGTGCGTAGAAGGGTTAACGAATTAATTAAGAATAATGAATGGGGATCTGATGAATTTCCAGAGATGAATAAAAAACTATTAAAAACTTTAGATATTCGCAAATAGGTTATATAATGTTTAAGTAAAGATGTAATCACATTAAAAAGATAAAATTGTGGGATATCAATTCTCTTTGTATATTGTAATTTATCAATTTTTTTTATAGAAGATTATCGTTGTTACATTCACCAGGCACTTAAAATTTGAAAATAGTTCTTAAGTTTTTATTTTATTAATTAAATCAATTTTTGTAAAGATGTGTATATTTTATGAATTTTTTAAATAAAACTTTATATACAAAATGATCAACTTCAATTTCATAAATATATAGTAATTTAGATGCTTAGATGCTTTTTACCGAAGTTATTAACAATTTTTTTTTAAAATGACAAATTTTGGTTGTATATTTTAATGAAAAATTTTTTTGATTTACTATAATATATTATTATTTTTAAAAGTAATTTTTAAATCTGCTTATAATAACTTAAATTAAAGAGCAAAATAGTATGAAATTTGGAAGTAAAAGGATATTATATGATAAATAAGTATGCTTTTGCTGTGTTATTTTCCGACTGACATTATACAAATTTCTTAGCTTTATAATATTTCATCTTTTTACTTTTGTAATTAGCTTTAGTTTTGTAATTTATTAAATAAGATATTTGTAGTCCTCATCTTTAAAAAAAGACTTATATTTTGATTATTAAAAGATTTCAGAGCAAAAGTAAATTTATTTTCCAACACGATAAATCTTTCTATGCGAACCATTACCTTTATTTTGCTCATTTTGGAAATTCGATTATTCATAAAATATATGTTTATCGGCAATTGTTTTCTCTAACAAACCAATATTATCTTTGGTATCTTTTGACATGGTTTTATTTTTCTATAAAAATTGGAACGATTTTGTTGTGTTACATAAAAACTTAAGCATACCTTGCAAAAACCAAATTTTTTAGTCTCTTATAATTTTTATATCGTTGTTAATTAGTCAATGAAAAATTCAAGTTGTTGATTCCCTAAAAAAATTGGAAACCCAAAAATCGCGATGTAATAAGAAAAAATTTTATTTTAATAATGTTATCGGCTTTATTGATATAAGTAATTTATACACAATAATAAATAAAATTACCTGAAAAATTAAGTTTTTTATTGAATTTTATACCGTCGATGTTTCGACTATAATAGAACTTAATCTATTTTGCTAATTTTTTAATGTTTGGTAACCCTGATACATTTACTTTCTTAGTAAAACAAAAGCTAGAGTTTCAATATATATAATGAAAGGTAAACTATTCGACAAATATATTAATAAAGTAGATCAAACGATACATATATTACATGTTTAACATGTGTCATTTTCATGATTTTTGCCGCAGTGTAGAATCATCTGAGGCGCAATACGATTTGCGACTAATACCGTAATGGGACCTTTGAATAGAAGGGGAAATCAATTTTACTACATAAATATGATTTTTAGCATCCTTTTTATTGAAAATACGGATAATAATAGTGATCATTATGTTTGCTATTAAAATCACGTTACAGACCATATGATTTAATATGAATTTAATAGCAAATCTCGTCTGCGGTCCTATAGAAAAAAATCGTTCAAGTACGATGAGGAATCGTTCGACTTGAACAATAAAAAAAAAAATAATCGTTCAAGAAGAATCGTTCTTCTTGAACGGTTATTTTTCTATAGGACCGAGGTCCTAGGACTGCGGCCTCAGGACTCGGTCCCTAGGACCCAATTCCTATGTACTGGGTCTTCTTTAGGACTGGGAGTTTCGGGACCGCGGACTGGATTTTAACATCCCTAAAAATAAAAACTATTCGCGATTTAAATATTATTAAGGACTTAATGTTAAAGACAATTTTAAGAGATTTAATACTAAACTATATGCATCTCGAAATATTCTGTTCTAGCTCACCACTACCACAATATAACAATCTTTAAATTCCAAATTTATATTTGCGAACCTATTTAATGTTCTATTTCTTTGGTAACGTTCGTTTATATACAATTGGGTATATAATAATATTTGACATCAAAAGCGTCTATGAAATTATTTCGTATTTGATTTGGATTTTTGCAGGTCTTGGATGTGTTACCGTAGACTATGGAGTAAAATGACATAGTGTGATAATAGGATGCAAAACATGTCAAGATATAACGAAAATAACCTAGGTATTGTCATTTCTCATTGAAATCACATTAAAAACGCCCAAACGGAAGAAATATTCTCGGCTTTGCAATACATTTACATTTGAATGGAATAAGAAATACTTAATCAGCTATAATGTGGAAGTTATCTCCAATAAATCGCAAGACATTTATCATAAACAGCTCACAAAATAATAATTTTCAAATCGACTTGGACATCACGCATCACTCATCATATAATTTCTACGAAAACGCAACTTACATACAAAATGAGATGATTCCCAGTGCAAAATGTTTCCTTTAGCGATTGGAGATGAAATCTATGGTTGTAATACATGGAACCATCAAGATTTGAATTATTTTAATTTTAAAAATGCCACATTTTTAAGCTACTTAGATTTAGTTACAAACGCATGGTTTATAACAAGAAAATCATTTGATTAAGGTTTGATGGCAATTTTAGACAAATTAAAGTATAGAGGCGCAAGACCAAGGCTATTTTGAGTATAAGTTACAAAGATACCATATGATTATTCGAGCAGAAAATATATTTCAACATAATTAGTATAATTTACTATATTTTTACTACGAACTAAACAAAAATATATATTTTATTGCATAATTTTCAATAAATACTAACTATGAAAATATATAATTGCTAAATTTTACCATACGCCAACTACTTTTTGAATATAAGTAATAGGTATGAAGCTAAAACACTTTCACTTAGCTTAGTTGAACAAGAAATGATTTTCTTCTATCTTAAAGGGGATGGCTAGTTCCGCCAGATAATATCTCTCAAAGAGGACGGACTATTTTTTATCGTTTAAAGTATAAATTCTCTACGAAACTTTCAAATTAATTATTCATTTGTTATCCATATTCCATATAAATATTCCTCTGATGTTAATAAAAAATAAAACAACTATGAAATTTCATTAACTGTGGCGTAACAATAAATAGATCGTTTCGCTTTTGCTTATTAATAAAAGTTCTTTTTAACGAAGTGATGCTGTCAGTATAATGTAAATTATCTAATATCAAAAGTAGTCATAAATATCACAGAGCATACTTATTAATATTTATTGTGAAAAAGAAGCAATGCTAATTAGGATCTTACTAAAATATTCTTATGAGAACAATTTTTTGTCTTGAAGTCCTTTTAAATAAGATAAAATATCAAATTAACTAACTCGAAATGAACAAATAGTTGATTTTCTTTCGATCTTATTATAGTTGCGAGGTAAAACTCTTTTTAGTAAATGGTAAAATTCCAAATCCTACGTTTATATTTGGCATTCGACAGAATTTTTATTAAAGAATTTGACGATTTTATTTGATTTGACAATATGAAACTTTTCGGTACTGTCGAACCTACAAATATAGCTGTACAATATGATATTTTAATTCGTATTTAATGACGAGTAGGTAAGTATTTCAATACTTTAATAAATTCCTTTTGCTTACGATGATAATTCAATACATTTCATTTTTTGTTATTTAAGAAAAGTCTAATCGTTACTAAATTATAACTAATTATATAAAGTAAACTTAAAACTCAACTATTAAATTACTCTTAAAAAATCTATGCTTTAAAATCGATTAATCAAACCGACAATCGACCTCAAATCGATTCCAATCCCCACTTTAGAAATTTAAATTTATCTGTATAAATAAATTTAACCTGAAATATAATTTGTTCTGAAAAAATAAAAAAATAAATATAATGATAAACTTTTTGAGATAGTTTTTCATTGAGTTCTTTTTAACTTTAACATTAATAAACTTTTTCCTTTTTTCCTTTTTATGTCTTAGAATTTTATTATTATGTATTTTGATTAAGATTTAAACGGTTGCAAAATCTGTATAATGAATAAGAAAAAGTATTTCATGTAATAGTTCATTTAAATTCTGATCCGACGCCAAACTAGCACAACTAACTGTTAAATTTGGATAGAGGGTTCACTCCCTACATTTACTCGACTTTTCACCATTTCTTATAGTACGTTTTTACCCTACTGATAACTATCGAGATCTGACGGGGTCGTAATAATATTCTTGCATATTAATATAATAATTTATTTATTTTTGTTAAATCAAAGAACTTAGGACGTGAATGATTACATAGTAACGGGCTCTCGAATATTTCGCGACTATAGTTTTTGGTTTTCTAATTATTCTAAAATGCATAAATCTTTTATTAAATTTTGAATCATTGAATTTTCTAATTTTAATTATTTCACTAAAGCCTATTTTATTAATAAAATAAATTCTTGAATGTTTCAGTACAAATAAATTGAAAAAAATTGTTTTGTGAAACATTGTATTGATGTATATGAATGAATGAACAAATAATCAGAATTACAAACGATGAACATATGAATACTCGGATTTCAAAAATAAACAACATATTGGAAGTGTTTCATATGGAAACGAATAACAATGGAAAAATTATCAAACAAGTGTCTAATACGACAACACCAATAGTGGAATAGAAGTCGTTCCGATCCATTTGCAAGATTTATTTCACGTAATATAGATAACTAAAGTGTTTAATGAAATAGTAGAAATATATCAATATGATGAACGTAATAAAATATATGAGGGAGGTTTTTGGGTAAAACCCAAATAGCTGATACAAACGTAAGGAAATTTATCAAGTAGATGATGAATAAAATATTTTAATTTACAAATATTAGTGTCAGATTTGTAAGTTTGTTATAACCTAGTTAGTTATCCGTAACGAAGTAAGGAATTACAAGTATTTATTTTGTCTTTTATTGAAATTTTCGGTCATACTGTAATAAAGATATCTTTTATTTATAAACAAAACATTAATAGGTATGTTTGCATCAGGAAATTTATCATTCCAATTGCATGAATTGGACATATAAAATTCATATGTTCAATTCAAATTGTGGCGCAGTTTTACTAAGTCCAATTGGTCCAACTTCCAACACTTCTTACGTACTGTAAAGTATTTGCATTTTCTGACTCTGTAACATTACGAAGTACTACGGTCGAAATACTTCTTAGATATTATAATACAGTAACATTTGAAGTACTTCGATCGTAGTAATACTATATATTTTATTTTAAAGTTTAAATAAAGTTTATAATATTTGATTATGCTGGCAAATATTCCAAAAAAAAAAATTGTTTTCATTCATGCGAACTACTACAATAATCTTCGCAATCCGTAAAACAAACGAAGATTTATGACTACTTTCACTATTATTATTATTGAGTTTTTGACTATAAATATTAAGACACGGTCAAAACAAATTTGCAGAATTTGTTTATGGGCTTTAAATTTATTTTCTAAAGATATTGTATAATGGAATATTTATAAATAATAAACTTATTCGGAATCCAGAATGAAACGCAATAGAAGACCACCGAAATCATTATGGTGGTGAAATATAAAAAACGACTTTATAATTTTGCAAAATTAGCTACAAAGTAAAAAATTTAACGGTAAGTCATCAATATATCATATCATCGTGTTATTCAGGCTGGATCAAGTAAAATACTATGTCATCTAATAATAATTTTCACTCAAATATTCTAGCATATATTACTATATAAATTGACCATTAAATTAAATTTGGAGATTTGGAACAAGTTTATATACGTATTTTAATAATATAATTTAAAAGATTTGAATTTTAAAATTGTATAAGAAAATTTATTCTTATATGAAATATAAATAATAGATAAAAATACATTTATCAATATAAAACAAAGAAAATGTCAACTGTCGTAATTCAAAAGATACTATCACCTTCGTTGTCTAAGAAAAAAATTATTTGTTTAGTTTAATATTTTAATTATTGAATAATTGAATAAAAAAAATTACCTTGTTTTGGATCAAAGAATGCATATTTTAAATGTTCTGTAATTTTTGTATTATTTCTACAAATACAAGAATGTTGTTCACATTTAACATAACGAATCGGTTTATATTTGACTTTATTGGCTTTTTGTCTCAAAAAAAGTAGACCATAATTATTTTCTGTGGTGAGAAAAAAACTAACATATTTTGGTTTTAAATTAGTTAAATTAGTTGAAGGGTTAGATCTAGTTAAACTATTACGAAATTTATTTCTTATAGTATTACGTTGGAAAGGGGATATGCCATAGGCATCAGGATCAGGATAATTTGAAATGATGAGTGTATAAAAAGTAAATCAACGTAATGATTTTCCTTCAAACTATAAGAAAATGTGTATGACTCAATCCTATCCCGAACATTGAAAAAACGATGTCCCAATGACAAGTGAATCATTTGAAGAATCCAAAGTTTTTATCATAGGAATTCCAATACAAGATACGTTTCTCATGTTTGAGTTATACTCAAAATTTAAAGGTTCTTTATAACACATAGACTTTGTATTAAATGTTGTGTTAAATTCTTTTTCAAAAGTTTTTAATTGAACATTAAAATCCGTAAGAATAAAATTTAAATCTGTATAGTAACCTATAACCATCCATCCAATTTTCAATTTGCATTCCCGCACTCTGAACGTTTCTTGAATACAATGAATTATTATACTTGGCTTTCCTTTCGGTGGACAAAGTATTTGACAGTCAAAAGCATCATTGTTCACCCCTTCTGCATCAATAACTGTTGCAAAAAGATTACAATCAGCATCTTCATTTTGAATGATTTTTAAAATATGTGAAGGTATTTTACGTAATTCAAATACTTTCGGTTCTCCTAATTTCTCAAATTTATAAATACAATCCTCAATTTTTGAATAATGAATTCTTTTTCCCAATGATGTAATAACTTGCCTATGTAAGGTTTCACTTAAAAGTTGAAAAATGCTAACTGGATTTTTAAATTCTATGCAATCCCAATTTCTAAAATCTTTTAAAGACTTAATCCAAGCTTTTTCATCAAAATTTTCAAGGCTATCGGGTTGTTGCCCTCCAATTAATTTTGCCCACTCACGTTGAAAGGATGTAGCTACTCCTGTTGAAAATTTGGAATCATTTCCTGTTTCGATACCTAAAGGCCCGGCACCTGTATTTATAGAACCATTTGTAGAATTTTCTTTAGAATATTTCATTCGAAATATTTGTTCCTCATAGTAAGCTCTTCCACCCAAAATAACTTCATTAGGAATGAATTGACCATATTCCTCAGTAATTTGTTTAAATTTCTCTGGATCTTTAGATTTTATAGCATCTTTTACCGCATTAATAAAATCCGCAGTTGGTTTTAAATATTCACTAAATTTTAAAGACACTTTACCATATTCTACGTAACGATAAGATGAATTGGTTCCAACGTTATAATTTGTATTGTTTGATTTTCCAGCTGATATTCCCAACATTACTAAATTCTCTGCATTAATATTGCACGTAAAAAACAAATTTGTTTTCATCGCCCAATCTTCATTTGAATTAAATTTCATCTGACCTTGTCGACATCCTGCGGCCACAATTTCAGTAATTTTGCATTCCTTCATTTTAAATGCTCTCTTATCAGCTATTTTATTTCCATCGAAATTAATAGTACGTCCATAATCAAATTATGCATTTCGTTTAAATATTTCCAATCGGGGTTTGGATTTTTCACCAAGTATAGAGTATTATGATCTAAAATTTCATTTAAAATCCTAACATTTTCATCATTTTTTAGAATTCTAGCCAACACGACGTTTTTTTTGCGCAAATGATAATGTATCGTTCATTGCTATTTATCGTTGAGTATTTTACGAATTTTTGATAAATTATCCTTTCGGTTATACCTATAATTAATAGTTATAACATAAATTTTTTTTTTTTCCGCATAAATGATCGTCATAAGTTACCCCTAGATACAATTGTCGATCAATGGGCTGAAATATAAAAGTCAATAAGCAAACCCTTCGTTCTTTTCTAAATAGAAAATGGAAGTCGATAATAATGAATACCTCGATCGGATAAAAAAATTAATTAATCATTATGATTATTCGGACTTCACAAATATAACACCAATAAGAAGTGATACTTTTGGAAAATTTTTTCGTACTAAATGGAAAGATACTGATGAGATTTTTACTTTGAAATCGTATGATAATTCGAAATTGTCACTTCAAAAATTAGTCAATGAGGTGAGGTATTAAATATCAAAATTCTTTACTTACAATTAAATTAATTTATATCTGCTCTGCTTTACAGATTAAATTACAAAAAAAAAGTTGATTTTCATCCAAATATTTTACGAATTTTTGGAATCACAAAGATCGAATTTGGTAAGAATTAAAAAATAAATATTATGCTATTGCAATTAAAATGAAATTTCATTTATAAAATTATGTTTAGATGTAGTTCATCAAATCAATACTTGCTAGTTTTGGAATATGCTGATAGCGACACATTAAGAGCTTATTTACAAAAGAATTTTATGTTTCTCGATTGGAATGACAAATTTCAATTAGCTTTGCAACTAGCAAGTGCCATTAAATGCATGCATGCTTTGGATATTATTCATTGTTATCTGGTAATGTTTTATTGCATTACATTGTATGTTCATTATATACTTGTAATTATAACTTCAAAAGGCGTGACGGTAATTACTCTTCAAAAATTATCCAATTGGTTGAAGAAATTATATCAGGATAACATAATAAATATTATTTCTTATGTTGATCCGGTTTCTATATATGGTGAAATATAATCAGATATGCATCCTGGAATTTTCAATTTTAAAGAGAAATTAGGCTTAGAAAAGTGGGTTGGAAATTCGGCGCATGGTAAATTATCAAGATGGATCCAAGATTTACATCTATTTCAAGGTCTTGCAATTAACAAATCATATGAAATAGAAAGTAGCAAGAAATTTGCCATTAAATTTATTGAAGTTCCCACAATAAATTTAAGAGATGAATCTTATTTTGAGCTAATAAATCCGACAACAAGATTGGAGGAGATTTTAATATCCAATAATATTTTTTCAATTAAAAATGTTAGAAACTTTCCGTTTATTAAAAATGACGATATTAGTGACAAGGATTATATTCATTTAATAATTAAGTATGAGCAATATGAGATTTTTATAAGTAGGGATCAGATAAAACCTTTGGAAGAATTTATTGATGCCATAGAAAATGCACTTAAAAGTATGAAACCATTTAATGCCTTACAAGATGTTTTTAATGTATATGGACATTTATTCCCATTAAGAATTATCTTGGGGAAATCTCTTAAAAATATTTTAACCACACAGCTTTTTGGTACGTTTGAAAAGATTAATTCAAAATTACCCATGTCTTCCTTAAAATCATATTTGAATAATTTAAATATTACATACCTTACAACACAAAAAGGCGATGTTATTGAAGATAATGATCGGTTTCAAAAAACCAATCGAATATGATAAGATAATTTCTTTGTACGATGTTCTCGAAGCAGAACTAAGGAAGAATATTGATTTTATATTAAATGATAGCTTGAGAATTATAATGACTGGAATAAATGATTTGAAAGATTTGAATATAGATAATATCGAACATTATAAACGAATAAATATAGAATCATCATTGGAAGATGAAAATTACCAAGTATTTGGATCAATTATTACAAAAGATAATATAAAGTCATTAGATTTTGTTGCAAGATTTAGGCTGTTCTATGTTAATGGATTTTCTGCAATGATAAAACCTTTACGAAGATCGGCGGCCGATATCAGAACGTGTTACATTTTATGGAAATCCTTTGAAATTGTCGGTTTTTAGTCCAAATAATCGAGAAATTCAAGCAGATTGCATTGAAAGATCTATGACATTAAAATGTGATATTTCAAACTATTACATAAAATGCTTCCTTTAACCAAAGGAGATACCATTCTTATCGATGCATACTATCCATCAACAAATTATGAGCCCCATAGAATTATCAAGTTAGTTGAGTGGGAAGATGAAGTTATTCATGTTCAATTAATTAATGAATCAAGTTCGGATAGTTCCGAAGTTAAACATGTGGGAAATATTGATTCTTTAACATCTGCTAATATCAACCTACGTATTTGTATACTTCATTCAGATGTCGGAAGTTTAAAGATTGATAATCACGAAAAGGGGTGTGATTTAGACTTATTTGACTTATTTGGATATATTTTAACTAAAGAAAATTTTAATAAGAAACTCCATAAAATTGAAAAATATTCTGATATTGATGATTTATCTCAGGTAACGTGTATTATAACTTTATGCATAAATATACTTTAATTCTTACAAATCTCATGTCATCATATAGTACCGTGGCAGTATAATTATTACCGATGATAATTATGTAGAAGCTACGACTACATCAATCCACGGTGGAATGGCTGATAAAATTCATGAAGATATTAAGTCTAATAGTAAATCCCCATCAAAGAGAACTATGTTAGCTAAAATATTAGAAAAAACGCTCGAAGTGATTTCTGGAATACAAACCGCAATAAATTTAGCCGTACCATTTGCAAGTTTTTTACCACCCATTATAGATTTAGTCAAAACATCCAATGAAATAGTAGAAATGTATCAAGTAGCGGAACATAATAAAAAAATATGTGGGATATTATTGGATAGAGTTCAAGTAGCTGATGCAGCCGTAAGGAATTTAAAAAATCGTAGGGATGAACACGAAAAGTTTTTTTCAGAAGAGAATCTTTTTAATTTACAAAAGTTGGTTCATGTCATTAGTAAAATTCGTAAATTTGTTGAAGAAATTTCTCAGTTAAAAGGGTTATCCAAGTATATTCGTGCCAAAAATATTGAAATACGTGCAAAAGAATTAATGAATGAATTCGATTATACTATACGCCTTCTACAATTTTCTTTTATAGTTGACTTTAGCGTACGTGCTGGAAAAGACTATAAAGATATAAAGTCTGATGTCGACGATTTAATTCAGGTAATGTGGTAATTTATATTAATATACTTCATCTTTATGAATACAAGTAATCTTATTTTATAAATTACTTGCATATAATATAGTACCTTGAAGATATTGGTAACGGTATAACTGACATAAATCAAAATGTTTCGGACATAGTCGCGCAAATTATTGCACTTAATGTTACAGTGAATCAGTTAGCACATAATAATTCAACAGATCAATCAGATGTATTCCAAAGCGAATTACTTGAATTTAATTTTGAAGAAGAAGGCGAACCCATAAAAAATCAAAATGTAAGAAAATTTAAAAGAAAACATGGATTGAATGATTATGTCGCATCAAGGTTGGTGGCTGATATTAAGTTTAGTAGTGAAAAAGAAAAAGCTAACCTTAACGTCAAGTCACAATCTTAAAAAAATTGAGAGAATGTCATTTTATTATTCAATTTCATGGTTTAACTTCATATGAAGATAAATTTTATTTGGTGACGGAATGGGCTGAGTATGGAAATTTACGTGAATATTATCAATGCTATGGTCCACTTGATGTTAAGCTGAAATTAAGATTTGCCCTTGACATTGCTAGAGGCTTAAATTTCTTGAGCTCCGTTTCGGTAATATATATTTTTTAATTACAAGGAAAGTTTTTAATTTGTAAATTAATTAACTTTTTTTTTTTTTTTTGTGGGAAATAAATTCGTCTCGGCAGATCGTTCATGGCGATATAAGATCCGAGAATATATTAATTACCAATCATGAAATTGCCAAAATTGCAAATTTTAAATTAAGTCGAGCAATTACTGATGCTATAGCAAATCAAGCTGCTACACTAGAAACTATACGATATTGCGCTCCGGAAAAATTAGACAAAGGGTCGTCATGTAAATATGGTACCAAATGTGAAGTTTATAGTTTTGGTATACTGCTTTGGGAAATTGCCGAAGAGAAAATTCCTTATGAGAAATTTGGTAATGATATCCATGAAATTATCGATCTTGTTTGCAACAAAGAATACCGTGAAAAGTTTTCTTTAGGTTCCCCTTTACCAAAAGAATATACAGAACTTGCGATGAAAGGTATTTGTATTTTTTAAAAAAACCTATTTGCTCTTTATATTGAATACTAAACTCAACTAATTTACTATTATTAAACTATCCCTAGCTGTTCATCACGATCGTCATTTTCGACCTCAATTTTCAAAGATTTTTACCATTCTACAAATGCTACAAAATTTTTACTGTAGATCACATCCATCGCCTCGTATTAATCCTGTTTCAGACTTTCTTGAATTATCAGATGATGATGAAATAAAGGAAATGATCATGCCAAATTCTGCAAATTTTGATTACATGACATTAGATGAAGCAGCGAAACAGCATAATCTTTCTGATGGAAACCGCGAATCAGCTTATAAATGTTTTAACGCATATGCAGAATTAGGTGATGTGAAAGCAAAATATATGAAAGGCTACTATATTCAACAAAATTTAGTTAAACTTGATTTGGACCAAGTAGCAAAAGATAAATTAGTTGCTGAATTATATAAAGAAGCAGCGGATGAAGGCGATGAAATTCCTGAAGCTCAATTACGCTATGGCCTTTGTTTATTTATAGGTAAAGGAATTCAAAAGGATTTAAAAGAAGCTGCTTTATATTTCACTAAGGCCGCTGAAAACGGCCAAGCTATTGGTATATTTAATGCTGCTACTTTATATTTCTCTGATAAATCTGGTATTAAGGATGAAACATTGGGTGCTAAATATATGAGATTAGCCGCTTATAAACTACATAAGCAAGCTATTGACTATTGCAAGAAAAATAATATTTCTATGTAATAATTTTATTATTATTGAATAATTATTTTTAAAATTATCACTTTATACCTTAATTGTTATACTATTTGATCGTAATTTACTGTAATAAAATTATATTTTGCAGTTTCTTTTTAAAGACCGTTCAAAATTTTCGTTAGTTAATTCTTCCTAGTTATCCCGGCAAAACTCATTTTAGAAAATGGAAAAGTTGAAAAAATTGATACCATATTTGACTTACAGTATATAGTGCTTCGATTACCGTCGAAACTATGAGTTTGTCCCGTAGCTTACTTAAAATTATTCACACACAACACAAAATCAACATCCATTGTACAATATTAAACATGAACTATTTTATTGGTATTTGTAAGTAAAAATATCCTTATTAAAAAAAAGTTAATATAAAATAATATTTGAATATATATTAAACATCTGATATTGATAAAATATCATGCTCACTCATATGATGTAGATTATATTGTCTTTTAATACATTTTTGTAAAACTACTAATTAAGCTTTTTATATTGAAAATAAACTATACAATAATACAATTTAAACTAATAATAAAAAAATACAGAATAATATATTTATATTATACATTTTTAATTATTAGCATTAGTATTATTAAAATAATTATAAAACTAATAAAAAATTTATCAACTATCATTTTTTTGAAATTAATTATTCTAATCCTTGCAGTAGAAGATGTTGTTGCCAAAATGGATCTTTTTATCTTTAAAACCACTGACCTGATCTGATAAAATTTGTTATCAACCAATTCATTCTTCTTGAATAATAATGAATTATTAAATTAGTATAATAATAAATTTTTCTTTTAGAATGATAACAAATCTTTAATTAGAATAATAATATATCATTCTAATTAATAATTTAATCAGTCAGATTTAAATTATTTGTTTAAACTCATTTTAGATTTAGCAAAATATTTAAACTTCAGTTTTTATTAAGGCTTTAATATAGTTTCGCATTTTTATAAGCTTTTATAAAGTTTTACTTTTTCTGAATTTTATAGATTTTTTAATAAAATTTTAATAAAATTTTACCTTTTGATATTTAGAAAATTTGCAAAACTTCTAAGTTTCATTTAGCAAAGATCAAATTAGGTTAGTATAAATAAAATTTAAATCAGATTTAATTTTTGCTTAACCTGATCTAATTCTCTTAAATCAGGTAATTTACTAATATAATCTAACTTTTTGAAGTTTTAAAATAATTATTTATTTTATTTTTCAGAAATTTGTTTTATATAATACCATTGTCTATTAAATTTAATTATATTAAAATTTTATATTAAAAAATAATTATTTTAATAAGAATTAATATAATTATAACAATATGTTATATAACAATTATTAATGAAACTAATAAAATAATTCTAATTTAATTATATAAATAAATACCAAATATTATTTGCTTTATAGAATTATTATATATAATATATTATTACAATTAGATTAATCTTTTTGATAAAATATAAATAATAAATAAAAATTATTTTAGTTTATTATTACAGAATAATAAAAGTTAGAAAAGTTAGATACATGTATAAATTTGAAACAAAAATCTTAAAAAAAAACTTGATATCTATATAAGAAGGCAAATTGAAATATTTTTCTTTATTAATAATACTTTATATCTAAACTATTTATCTAATAAATATTATATTAAATATCTATTTCTAAATATTACAGCATATTTATAATTTTATGATCAAAATATTATTAATAGTTTTAATATAAGAAATATAATTGATTTAAATATTAATATATTTTATATTTTAATTCAAATCCAAATTTTAGATATAATACTAAAGTTAAACTTATATAATTAAATTAAAGTCTTTAATAATTTTAATAAATATAGTATCAAACCTATTAAAATTTATATCAAAAATACATCAAATATTTTAAATATATTAAAAAAAATTATAAATATACAATTAAATTAAAGCAAATATTTTGCTTAAATATATTTATTAAAATAAAAATAAAAAAATTAATATAAAAGTCATAAAAATTATAAAAATATGTTAATACATTAGTTAGATTTAAGCATTTAAAGAAATTAGAAGTTTAAGTATTAACCAATAAACTTAATTTTAAAAAACCTTTTACTATTAAAAATTTTATTTAATATGATAAGTATAAAATTACAGAAAAAATGATATCAAATAAAAAAATTTTAAAAAAAATTTTACTTAATAAAAAAGAAAAAGAAATAGAAGAGATTTTTTTATCAATAATTATTCATAATAATGTTATTAAATTTTTATGATAAAGTAATTTTATATTTAAAAAAATAAGAAGAAGTTTAATATGAAAAAAATTTAAAACTAATCTAAAAATTAAAAAAAAGAAGCTTTTTATTTTTATAAGACAATATGATCTTATAGTTTTATTAATATTATTAAGTTATTCTAGTAAAATATAATAAAAATAATAAAATATGAAATTAGATAATATTAGTAATAGTCTATTAATATTATAAAATTATTTTATTATTATTATAATCTGCAAGAAAATAAAAATTATTATAATAATGATTATTACTAAATTTATAGTTATTACTATGATTATAAATATTATAATAATCACTAATATTATATTTATCATAGTTTTCTTTAATATAATTATTTTATTATTTATCTTTATTTTATTTATTATTATTATTATTTTTATAATTATTTATTATTATATTTAATATCTCTTTATTATACTTATATTCATATAAATATTATATATCATCATTTTAATAAAGAAACAAGTTTCATTTTTATAATTTCCAATAAAAGTATAATTCTAATAATATAAAAATTTTTATTTAATAAATTTAAACTGCCTATTAACAAATAAGAATTATTATTATAATAATATAGTATTTAAGCATAATTAATTAGTAATCAAAATTTTAATCAATTTACTTTTAATTTACTTTCAATATTATTTTGAATTTTAAAAGAAAGTTAAGAAGTAATTAAATTTTAATTTAAAACATTTGATTCTTATTTTATAATATTATTATTAATTTGAATTTTAAGTTATATATTTTATAAATAGGTGTATAAATAAAATTAATTATCTAAACTCATTTTAAATTTAGTAAAATATCTAAATTTTAGTTTTGCTAATTTTTTAATATAGTTTCACATTTTTATAAACTTTGATATAGTTTTTATTTTTTTTAAAATTTCACAGATTTTTTAATAAAATTTTAATATAACTTTACTAAATTTTACCTTTTTCCATTTAGATGATTTGTAAAATCTTTAGATTTCATCTAACAATCTTATATATGAAAAAAAATTATTTTAATTTAATGATTATATGAATGCAAATAATTTATTTATAAAAAAGAAAATATTTTACTTTTTTTATATTATCAATTTCAAAATTTAATCATAAACCTGATCATTTTTTTAATCTTTTATAATTGAATTCAAGTTTTATGAACTGATATTAAATGCAAATATTTATTAAATTAAAAAAATAATAAGAAATAAAGAATTTCAGAGCTTAAGTAAAAAAAGAATAATAAGAATTTAGTAAAGTATAATAAGAAAAATTAATTAATTTTTAGAAATTTTTAGAACACTTTTTTAAAAAATTAAGTAAAAATAAAATAAAAAAATTTGAGATAGAATTATTTAATAAATATATTTATATTAATTAATTTATTATTGTTATTAGATATATTATTCTCAAAAAAGTATTCATTAGCTAAAGAAAATTTAAGAATTTTTAATGCAAATATAATTAATATTCTTTATATTATACTTAATACTTCAATTCTATTTAGTATACTTTTTATAATTTGTTTTAATATGTAATATTTTTTATTTATTAATATTTAATTTATAGTATGTTATTAATCCTATGCTCAATCTATCAAACTAGCATAACTTAATAATAGGGAGTAATTTGTAAGAAATTACTAAGTTATTATAAAACAAGACTTATTATAATTAGCCTTAAGTTTATAATATAGATGAGTAAATAACTTTAATAATTATAATAATAATAAATATAATGACATATTGAAGAATATTAATATATATAGTTTTAGAAAGAGATACTTTATTATAGAGATTGTAATTTTAGCAATTTTTAACCTTAGATTTTAAGTCTTTAACTTAAACTATTGAGTTATCACTGTTATTTCTTTATTCTTTTACAAGAACAATTTTCTATTCTATTTAGATCACTATCTAATGCTATTTAATATAAAATAAGTTATAACACTAAATAAATACAAGTAATAATATATAGTATAATAAATAATAAAGTAAATAATAATAATAAATATTAAAATATTAAATATGAAAACTGTTAATAACATAAATCTTTATCAATTCATGTGGTACAGTAGAATTAACTTCATATGGTATCAATGTTAAACAAATATATTTATATTTAATAATATATAAAGCTAGATAATATCTTTAAACTATCCATAATCTGATTATTTATTTACATTTAAGCTTATTTAATTCGTAATATTTTTTTACGTTAAAGTTAAAAAAAGGAAAATTAGAGTCATTCATACTTTTATTTATTAAAACTAATATAATCAAATTTAGGGATTTATTTAAAAAAATATGTAAAATATAAAATTAATTTTCTGTAAATTGAAAAATGGTCTTCATATAGTAGATTTAGTTAAAATCAAATAAATAAATAAATAAAAGGAATTAAAATTAATTTCTCACGTCTGTAAAATATTGCTCATTGCGAAATCTCCATGTAGTTTAATTTTTGCTTTCCATTCCTTTATAAGATTCTATGATGAAATATACGAAAAGTATATTCATAAAATAGTGTTAGGTCTACAATTCTGAATTGAATTGAACACCCATATAATTTAGTGACCATTCAATTTATGTTCGTTGTAAAGATAAATAAATCTCTTATCGATGTGTACGAAGATTTTAACTAACAATTTTACAATAAACTAACAATCGGTTCCGTCAATGAAGGATTCAATAAATCTAGAATAATAACTATAAAACTATTGAGCTCCTTCAACATTTTGTATCAATTCACTATGCTAACTTGTGCATTAAGAATCTTTATTAAAAAAATTAATTAATTTAAGTAAGTGATTACAACTCGCTAAGAAGCATTTATTATTTGATGAACGAACTACATTTGCTTGAAGGAACATAATTCAGTATTTGCAACGATTATACTACTATTATCAACTATATCAATATATTCTAGAAAATATTATAAAAGGTCATTTTTAAAACTGATAATATAAGGTAAATTTTCGATTTCATGATGCTTATGTAAATAATAATTCACAGCAACCAAATATTTGTTCAAGTTCAATAAATTTTAAAATTTGAGAAACTTCAAGAATTTTGCAGTTAGCCTATTGTGTTCGCAAATACATAAAAGATGAAATGAATTAGCCACTCATTAAAAAAAAACAAATGAAATATAAGGCCGGACAAAAAATTCTCGTGACCGACCGCCTCAATTTTTACAAAATCTCATGAATTTTTTTTTTATAGTAAAATTATATATCACGTGACTTTATATAATGAAAAATCGTAATAGCATATACTTTATTATAAAAAAATTAAACATACTATTTTCGTGATTTTTTTGTAATTTGAAACTTGATATTCTTAGCACGTTTTTTTTTTTTTTTTCAGAAACTGTCATATAACACTCACAACAATAATAGTAATATCCTTCATTTACCTTACTATTTGCGTAATACAAAACAAAATATAAAATACTTATAAAAAAAATTTATATATAAAAAAAAAAAACCGGGTGACCGTATCAATTTTAAAATTTTATGTCACGAGAATCTAAAAATTTTTTTTGCCCGGCCTAAATAGTTGATTTAATTAATTTTAAAGTACATACGCTGGTTTTTCAAATTATTTCGTTCACACCACAAAATATTATGAAATGCAAACGCTTCACATACAGTAATCATCACTTTTCATTTTTTTAAAAAAATAATAATGATGATAAATCTTACTTAAGCATTCACTAATAGGTCTAGAATCAATTTATCATCAACATTTTTAATAAAAACTTGAAATGATTATAATTGGTTACACAATTCATCTACATATCGACTTAGAGCACAATCAATTTCCGGTCAAGTTCTAATCGAAATGTAAATCGTGAGAATTGGCAATTTCTGCATTGATCCGAGTCACAAAGTTCTTGATCTTTTTAAGAAAGAATCGTATCTTATCTCTAGATAGAATTCCGCTTTGATTAATTGATTGAATTACGAAACCCTGATTCAATGATCTTTTTTTACGAAATAATTGTATCGTATCGTTAACTCGATAGAATTTTGTATAAATAGACTTGTTTTGCTTTTGTTTTGGATAGTATATCTTCTCTTAATCCTACCTATTACAAAGCGCCTAGTGAGACAATTGATTATTTTGTATTTCTTAATTTTGATAAAACTTTCTCCAATTAATCTCAATTATAATCTTTGTAAATTGATCGACATCAGCATTGTCTTACTCCTTAAGCGAAATTGTGACAAGGAATTGTGATTATTATTTTTTCTTACCTGGAATACCAATACAATATAATATGATGTATAACTTTTTTTTAAAAAAAGTTTACAATGTCACAAATTAATGAAAAAGTTTATATATTTACTATGAATTTCTACGCGAAATATCTTCAAGCAAATCGCTTATAATATTGCAACAATTGGCAAGGATTTTTCTGATCACATCATTTTTTTCTTCATCTTCATCAAATGATATCCGAACTAATTGGAAATAAGCATTAGCAAAGAAATTAACCATAGAGACTACCAATGTAATCTTGAATAGTCACAAAAAATTAGGAAATACCTTTCAATAAAATATTAAATATGTATAAAATTATATTGGATGATTCACGTGATGTGGCTGATATAGACGTCACGTCGTGACGTGATGAATGTTTTGATAGAAGGTTTATGGAAATTTGTATTTAAGAAAGTTTGATATATAAGGAACGCAAATTTTATTCTCTCATCTCTTGTTTCTAGAAGAATTTTTTACAAAAAAGCAAAAATGTCTATGACAAACATTTATGAAATAATTAATAGTCTCGCTTTTACTGACAAGGAAAAGACTACACTACGCTCTTACTTTTATAAAAATTCTAATGAAATAGATAAAGCTTTAAGTATTATTGATACTTGCCAAATGCCTGAAGCGAAACTTGACTTTATAAAGAAGACTTTCTTGAAGACCGGTATGTTCTAAAAGTTACGTGTACGACTTTTTGAATTTTCGTGCACATTAAATAACTTTGCCTTTTTTGGTCTCCTAACCCAATTTAGATGGTAAGCTTTGCGTCGTAGTGATAGGTTAACAAAGCGTGACGCACTAACTGGTTTTTTTTGTATGATTTAGTACAAAAATTAAAAGTCGCTGAAGCATTTCCCACTGGTATGTAATGATGAAAACTCAATTTTTTCTAACATTAAGACTGATTCGCGTTCCATTGCTCTACCAGGACTACCGTACAAAAAGCCAATACCCTTGCTTTCCAGTACTGGTTCGCAATGGGATTACCAATTGGACGAAGATCTGCGTGAAATGTTGCAAGGGACGATCAAGAAACATTATCAAAAATTTAAGGAAAATGTTAGAGACAAAACAGAGATACCATTTTACTTTTTCGTTTCTGGGCCTGGAACCGGAAAGTCCCGTAATGCAACCGAATTACATCAAACAGCACTGAAAATTATATCTGATCCTGAACTAAAAAGTCGGCTTGAGAAAGCATGGGTATTTTATGTTAGTCTTGAAAATGGTCATAGCTTAAGACCTATTGAAAAGGATAGTTATGTGGCTATTGCTACTCGAATGCTCTTCCAACTTCTTGAAGAGAGATTGGACACTGTAATTGCCAGATATGAGTTAACATCCCCATGGGATGTTTTGAATTTGGTTGCAATATATGAAAACAAAGAGTTGGAGAGTGCTACCTTCATATTAGTAATTGATGGCATGCAAAATATGATAGAAAGTAAAGACGATGGCCTTTATAAAGAATCTAAATTCTATAAAACTTTGACAACCATCGGTGAACTTTCGTTGGAAAACATATTTTGTATCACATGTTGTACGATGACAACGACAGGACCAATAGAATTCTTCCTCGCTGAATCGTCAAGATATCGTGTATTCCTACCAGTTTCGCCCCTGAAACCTCCAACTATAGCTTCCAATCCCGTTTTTGAAATTGACAATTCTATCATACGCCTCCTAGTCGGAGATTGTGGTGGACATGGGAGGGAATTAGAAGTTCTGCAACAAACTCTAACCAATAATAATAACATTAAAAACAGTAATTTTATGGAAAATTTTCATAATCAGCTCAAATACCGATATAAGAGAGCCTTTTCATACGATGCAAACGATGCGAAGGAGATCGTGAGAGCAGTACTAACTCATACAACTTTAAGTAATTATAGACCGATTACAAATAGAACAAAATTAACACCTGATGAAATCACTCGTACTGGTATGTTCCATTTTGAAAAAATGGGCAACTCTGACGAAGGCTATCTTGTTATGCCATACATGTGGCTTTGGGTTATGGCCGAACAATTTCTTGATGAAAGGGCACCTGACCTTCAATACTGGAGATTCGATGACTATCAGGAGCACCTATCAAAAGAGGACAAATGCTTAGCTTCGGGATATTGCACTTGGCAGAACTTTGAGATTTTTAATGCTAACTTTCGTTGTTTAAAGTCTAGAATGATTGATGAAGGCGAAATAGTATCAATATCAGATATACATCGTGGAGCTAAATTGAACTGTGATATCAAATACAAAAACCATCACCTACATTTGGATATTTCAAGTCGGAAAATTGATACACGTACTACTCAAACAAATTCCAAGCGATGGTATATTGAATGTGAACACAACACAATTGATATTCGAGAATGCACCCATTGTATCATCAATAAAACATCTGCTCCACACGGAGATGCACTTATTGGGTTAGATTTGCCTGACAGTAAAAACGAAGTCCAGCAATACAAACTTTTGAATGACCATTCGACTTTTAACTATATTGTAGAAAGAAATAAAGCAGCATCTAAAAAAGATTTTTTTATATTAATAACAACTAAAGACCTTGATATTGAGCTTCCACAAAATTCTGGAATTGTAAACAAACAGAATTGGAACCAATATTTTGGTGCTTTTTCTGGACGTGCTTTTATCTTTGCAGTTGAAGGCCCTCCGGATATAAATAATGCAGTTCGTGCACAACTACAGTTAGTGAGCCAAGTTGGTAAAAAGCGAGCAGAAGAAATTATGGCGAAAAGACCATTTAAAAATATTCAAGATGCAAAGCAGAAAACGAATATACCAGAAAAGATTTTAAAACGGTTTAAATACTAGGAAACGTTTTTTAACGATCTCTCATAGATACTGGATATGTCGGTGCTTAAATCACTGTATAAAGATATTAGAAATTAAGCATGTGCATTTTATTTTAGCGAAAAGTTTTTATTGCTTAAAATTTATCGAAGTAAATTAAAGATTAATAAAGCGTTTTATTATTCGCTAACATCTTGGCTTAATATTTTAACTTGTGTGTGGTGATGGCACCCTGGACTATGTCTGGTAAATTGTTTTTATTGATATCGACTCGACTTGATCATTGTCCCGATTATTGTTTAACCCGGATTCGATTCGAATTTTCAAGGGTAATATTAATGCCGATATAGTTTAATTTTTTTTTAATTTTTTTTTTAATTTTTTTTTTTTTTGCTTGTGCATTAATACTAATTATTTTTTATTACATCTTTTTCCACCGGATTTCAAACACATACAAGCGCGAATTGTTTTAGCTTCAAGATCACAACCTTTGGTTTTTATTAGACTAGTTCCGCCAGAAAAGCCCGTTCTACTGGAACATTTGTTGCTTTATTACAAAAATATAATAATTAATGTTTAATAATCGATAATTTATTGTTTTTGTAATTGCAAGATAATCTCTAGCCATCATAGTTAAATGTGGATATTCGGTATATAATTTATAATTTAATTTAAATAAATTAACATTTTTTTTTATTTTTTTTTACAAAAATATGATTTAAAATTACATCATATCTATCATTAATATTTTCTACTTCGAGTATAGCTGGGTGTTATAAATATTAAGATCTATTTCTTTGGCATAATGAATAAAGCTTTGTTTCCCTTAATAAAAAAAATAAACAGATATTAAAAAGATTTATATTTGTGTGACGTAACAA